ACAGGTTTGCTGCTTTATCCAAAATTTTATTTCGTATAACTTTGCCACTCCCAATTTTCTCCAAGAAAAATTATTAACACCAATACTTATCTTTCTAATTAAAGCTTGTTGAAAAGTATAATCTCATAAGTGGTAAAAATAATCTTGAACGATTAACCCCATTACGAGATAATAGACAAAAATCTGAGAGCAAAAGTTGCGATTCTTTCTCTTGCGGGGATGAAATGCCGAGAATAGTTTAGAAGTACAATAGGTAATTGCAGTTTAGAGAGTAATTACTACAAAAAAACTTGCATCAAGTGTTCCAAAAGACATAACAAATTAAACTTTCATGAGGTATGGAATTTTTTATCAATCGAAGTAAATTGCAACATTATAAATCCGATTGCTTTAGAAAAGCCACCGCACTACAAAATATCCATCAATAATCTTATAGATGAAATTCGCTCTAGATTTAGAGGATTCTAACTTAATAACGGCGATTTTTCTTATAAACAACAAGTTTGCTACCTTCCGCTTCAGCAGACTTAATTGAATTCTGTATTGCGAAATATAAAAGTTGTGTGAATAAATGCGAGTAACCAATAAACAGACCAACGAAATAATTTTAAAGAACTCATGATACTACTAGCACAGGAAACTTATCTACGAAACACCATCGAATTTCGTTTTCATGCAAATCGAAAGCGTTCTCAACATTTAGAAAGGAAACATACGTCTAAACGGATAGTATGTTAGCGGTCTCTTATTGAACAAGTAATTGACTGCGTCTCGTGTAATCCGACCTTAATGTGTTTCGAAGTGTATGCTCAATTTACAAAGATTTATTTCTAAAAGCGCACCAAAGTATCCTCTTCAATTTGTTTACCTTTTTGAGTGCGCAGATTTTTACTAAGTGCTACTAAATCTATCAATCTTACTGGAGCATTATCTTTTTACAATTCAGTCACAGTCATTGTTTAGTAAACTATGGGTTTAGTCAAAATTCCAGTTATCTTTATTTGTATTGTTTTACGGAAAACAAGCAGAAACTTAAGAAATTATGTCTACTTATCCGATGGGAAACTAGGTTTGTACAAGGGTTTGTATACGATCAAATCTTCATGTTAAAAGCTACCGAAATACGCTATTTTGTTGAACGTAAACCCAAATCTTTAATCAGGGATCACAGTTTCACTAGATAACTTGCCCAAGCAGTTACTGCAACACTGATTCCCTTCGTGCATTGAATTCAACCGTTTTATTCACACTTAGTTTCTGTATGCCTTTTAAAATCTTGACACAAACTCCAAGTTTTAATGAAAAATGTACCCGAAATTCGACCTATACCGTGATTTCGTCGGGTAAACAGCCTAACGAATTGCATCTATAAAAACGCGAAGGTTCAGGTGCAAATCTGACTATAGACCATCAAACACTTAATCTTATCCTGTTGAACAGTCTATCGTACGGAAAACTAAATTAATGGATGTATGAAAGAAGAATCTCTTAAATGAAAGGCCATGTGTTGTAATGGGTGGTCGCTCTGCGGGTTTTCTATTGGTCGCTAGGATCCACGCCGGTCGATTTCATTGCGTTAGGGAAAGAAGGCCCGTTTCGGTTTTTCTAACGGGCGAGATTCAAATAGCGAGAGAAGTGGGCGAGCGGGCCTTCCAAGCTGATACTCGCGAGCGAGCACGTACCAATTTGGGTACGCTAATTTTTATTATGCTTGGTTTACTTCAAGTAAAAACCAAAGATGTTCGTTTAACTTCAAGAGCGACCACGTACAAATATTGGTGTTTGTTTAAAAAGTTGATATGCGTTCGACAGTTCAGCTGAGTTGTGAGAAATATGGTCGCGTAGGTATGTAGATTTTCGATTGGAATTCGGGAACCGTTAGTGAGTAAAATCTGCCCGAGTAGTAGAATTGTCAGTTTAACTTCGGGTAAAACATTAACTAGGGAGAAAATGTTGAGAACGGCATGGTGAAACATTCAAGCAAATTCGGATTTTTTAAAAATTGCGGGTTACCTGCAATATTATATGTGTGCGAACAAACGAATTACAGTAAATTCCGGGACGAAGGAAAAACTTTTTAGTAGCATAATTCGTAGCAAGGCCTTATTTTTATTTTATTTATTTATACTTTATTAGATAATATTTACAAAGAAATTCTTATCTAAGAGGCAAGGTATCGGTACTAACCGTTTTTCAACCCTACCAAAAATATTATTTACAAGCGGTAAAATATACGTGAAGGAACGTTTTCGAGTAGGAGACTCGCTTTCCAAATAGAAAGCAACATTTACCTGCAACAAGATCTAGTTAATAAAATGGGCAAAACTAATAGCAACACAGCGGACATTGGTTTATTATTCCTGTGCGTAATCACGTTGTCGAGTATTACTTTCGCGAAAGTGAAATCGGTTTGCTTGGATTCGCTATTTATACGAACTTTACTTCGTATTCATCACAAAGATAAACGTTGCATTGTATATTAAATTTGTTTAAAGGAATTTTAATATCCTTAAGGAAATTGATCCGTGTTAATTATTTGCATGAATGAGATTTTGTATTGTCTTTATTGATAAGAGCCGAGTCCAAACAATGGATTTTTGTCTGTACTAGAATTATTATCTGTCGCCTCTTTCCAACATACCCTTTTAATATGATAAACAGCGGCCTTTTACCTATCTAATCTCAAAATTAAAATCCAACATGTTTGATAAAAATACAATATGCATTATTTACACCTACATACAAAACAAAGGACAAAAACCATTCAGAAATGAAAATAATTGCACCATTACAATATCAAAGAAATACAAAGAACTAAGATCTAAAGTGTGTCTATTTAACTCTCTGTGATTTGCAAAAAGATTCCAGAAAAAAGATTTTCTAAGAAACCTAATACTTCCAAAGGGGTTTCTAAGGAGACCATATCTCTGCAACCCAAAACATGTGTAGCATTTTCTAAAAGACCATTAAGGGTATAGTGCAAACTAGTTTTTCAAGAAAGACCACATCTCTGCGACCCAAAAAAATGATAGGGTTGTCTAAAAGAAGACCATTAAGGGTATATTGCAAATTAGTCCTGGCTGGGAAAACTCTTTCTGAAAGTTTCCACTAACATTCCTTGTAACTTTAAGGAAATATTTCTGATTTCTGTCAAAGATGCCTAAGTAGACATCCAGGAAGACCTTTAAGATGATATTTAAGAATAGAGAAGAAAGAAGATCACGATGTCTAACGAGGATTCGAAGGACTCAAAGATCCCTGGACAGGAAAGACTGCAAAAGAAAAAATGTTGAGGTAATATTCCAAGAAAGTTTAAGAAAGCAAATTAGTCTAAGAAGTTTTACGGAAATGTCTAAGGAATCATATTTTTCAAACTTCTGAGAATATTTCCGAAATAGTTTCTAATAAGACCGTATCGGAAAATGGTTTTCAAGAAGATTCCTAGCGTATTTCTGTTGATGTTGACGTTGATGTTCAGAGGATTTTCCTGAAGGCATCAAGCGCGAATTATTGGGAGATTTCTAGAAATTTCTACAGAGATCTATAAGAAGCTGTTTCCTTAACATTCCTAAGATCTTTAAATAGAATTTTGTGTGGAAATTATTAAGATTTAAGAAAAAAGGTTCTCCCCAAATATTCTTAAGGAATATACCCGAACAAAATTTCTCGAAGGACCCTAAAGAAATTTCTCTAAAAATGAAAAACTTCACTGTGTTTTTAAATGCTCTGCCTTCATCACGCAAAATTTCTGAGATATATAGAAAGATCTCTAAGCGTTTCTAAGATACTTTTGAAGATAACGTCCAAGAGAATATGCATTACAATTTTTTAGGGTGGTCTACAGTTTATCAATTTATTGAGTTGCAACACTCCTTCCTTAGTATAATCGTGAAAAATTGTGGATCGCCAAACTTAAAAAAATGGCTGAATTTGCAAAAGTCGGAATGTCGATTGCTACAAAATATTAATTTTTATCAAAGCAAGATAGCTTTTTTATGGTTCCTTCCCAAAAAAGCAAAGTCTTGGGGGGTACGACCCCGATTTTAGCATTTGACACCTCAATAAATAAAAAATTTGGTCACAAATACAACACCACTGTTGACCATTGTCATAGATAAAGTTTTTTAACATCAATTCTATTATCAGATTGTCCCAGTTTGTATAGCAAACGATAATAATACTTTCTGCATACACGACCGATTATGAAATTTACTACTGTTTTATCTGTAGAATTAATCAAAAATTTCTGGTCAACTTCATGACTTTTTTATGATCCGATAATATACAACCAATTACGCTGCCTTTCTTATCATCGGATACTATTTCAATGCATAGATAGAGGGCCCCATTTATTTTGCTTATGTACAGTATGAACCTCTGGAACACACACAAGGCGCTTGCAAAGCCTAAATATGTTTTGCGAGCTTGGGCAAACAATTGCCTTTTTAAAACCTAATTACCTTTGATTTAATGGGGATGGGGGACGGGGGTGATTTAAAAACTAATTCTTGTAATTCCAATCCTGCGCTAGGGATTGCAACAACGTAAGCGATCAATATGGGTGCATAACCGTATGGGTCCGCTAATAAATTGACGTATTTCAAAACTCTGCCAGACGGATAAACGAAGACGTCCTAGTATCATCATTATTCATTTGGGAAAATGCCGTCGTCTCTTTTAAAATAATAAACCCAAAAAGGAATTAATTGCTCTCAAAGACCTCCACCAACTTCCATATAATAATATAATCTTGATTCAAAGATCTGGATCTTAGATTTCTCAAAACCGCATTCGGCGATACTTCTTTGTTGTAGTTCTACAATTTTTCGTTGAGACACCTTGTAGAACAAATTTTATGTCTATAAATGCCCTCTACTCAAAACTGTTTCAGTACAGCAACGAATTATAACAAAGCTAGGTATTTAGGGTACCACCCTCAGACATCTGCATTTCGTATTTACATAAATGATCTGGAGGGTATCTTAAATAGCAATACACTGTGCAGTTGGTGTGGAGACGACACCTCTTTAATATCAAAAACGATCAATGCCGAAAAGTAATACGATCAATTTGTTTCGTATAACTTAGCCGCCTGATGTTGTGTAAATGTTCCAACATCATTATTTATCTTATGTCTCTTTTCTTCGAATATTCAATATAATGTTTTCTTTCGGCGTCAAGGTAAAGCTGTAAGGCTCATACTCCATAGGAATTTTGGTTCTTGCGTTTAAGAAAATTTCGTAATGCTGTAAAATCGCTATTAATCCGACCTTCAACTGCATCATGGCAAAACGTTGACCTAAAGACTCTACTCAGTATTTCAAACCATAACTCGATATTTACCAATGCAAATTCTAGGTCCCACCCCAAACGGTAGATACGCCGTCAAATTTCTCAGTTTTTTTCCTTCGTCCGAAAATCTTTCGGGGTCAAACTTTTCTGGATCGGGATAATATTCTCTATCGTGGTGAATTCCCAATATAGAAATGTCGATGTAGGTCCCTTGGTCTAGTACAACGTCGGTACCTGGTATCCTGTATGGTCTTTCGCATTTTCTACCAATAAATGACACCGGTGGGTATTTTCGTAACGTTTCTGGAACCCGGAAAAGTTACCTTAAGTGCTGAACAAGTCTTCAACTTACCCTCTATGACTTGATTTGCGTATTTCATGTTTGAAATTGCTTCATATGTGATGCTTCCCCGAGACTCGATCAGGACCTCCTCAATTTCTTCGCGCAATCGACTTTGGATTTCTAAATTTTGGGCTAACTCGTACAAACAAAAAGAAAACGTCGTGGAGCTTGTTTCGAAACCTGCCGCAAAGAATATAAACACCTGTGCGGCCAATTCTTCCAGCGTTGCGCCCTTTTGCCAATGTGTGCGTTCTTCTTCACTGAGGTCGCCTCCAACGTCATTTTTTAAGTCTATGAGTAATTGTATTAGATCCTTCCGAGTTGTTTTCGTCGTTTCGCGAAATGAAATAGTTTTCTCCACAATTTCTGTGAAGAAATTAGTGTAATCTCTGCCAAAGACTTTAACACCTAATAACAAAGCTAGGTTAGGCATTGCAAACGCAAAAGTCATTTTAAATCTACGTAACCAGGATGAATAATCGAACGTTCTTCGCCCAAATTGGACAAACTCCGAATTAGGGTATTTGAAACAATCACAATCCACTCCAAACGCGCATAATGCAATAACGCTGATGCTGTAATTAATTGATAAAGTGCTTGCATCTATTATTCCCCCCTTGCTTTCTAAGTTCACAATTGCATCATTAAGTCTATCTGCACACACCAGCAACGGATCAAACATTATTTTTAACTTTGCACTAGAAAATGCGGGTGACAGTTTTGAACGTAAACTTCTCCATCTTTCACCACCAAGAGAGAATAGATTGGCACTGAGAGGATCATCTTTTTCATTGTAGTAGAAACCTCGATCTGTGAAGTAATTGAAGTCCTGTTGTAAAATAGATTTAATTATTTTCAAGTCGACCGGAATGTAGCGCGGAGAACATATTAAGTAAGATCCACCGTGCACTTGCCCTTGATCCTTGAATATATCGTACCCATGTTTCAGGTGAATACCAACGTACATTTGTTGCGAAGTAATAACATTTTGAACATTTCCAAATGGTATCTTCGGTTCTACAAATGGCACACACTTCTTTTTCCAGTATGAAAATGCCCATTTGTAATATAAATAAATTGTTGTAGCAATTATCACACACACAATCGAGAAATACGGGAGAAACATTATGCGTTGAGTTGAGTAATAAAGGGGCACTTGTCGTTCTGCGCATATGAAATTCTTTACAAATAAAAAATGCTAGTTGATGTGACCCCTATTACCACAGATAGTATATTTACATCTGTGCTATTACTTAACAGAAAATACTCGCGATAATCTAGATATGTTTTGAGTACCCAAAGATAAATGGCCACGCAGGCCCGTCTTAAGCATATTCAGCGTCTGGGTGCGAAAGGTCGGCCTGCGCCCCCATGTGAATTAAGAAAAGTACAATGCCATGTTTGGGTTTCATTTATTAACGAGCTCCTAGCGAGTTTATAATTTTGTGTCTGTCCGTCCGTCCGTCCGTCCGTCCGTCCGTTAGCACGATAACTCATAAACGAATGGACCGATTACGATGAAATTTTTCAGGTGGATTCTTTATCAAATTTGTAGATCGGAGTTCGTGAATTGGCAATGTAGCCCAAAAAATAAAGTAGGCCCTTTTGACATCTCCGTTAGTTATGAACCGAATTGCATGAAATTCAATATGCGCATAGCTTTTAGCCATATAAAACACAATTCCAAAAGTTGAACCTAATCGATCAGCATTCACAGTGCCCTTTGCGCATCTCGACCATTTACAGACCGAATTGCAAACTTTCTTATTTATGGAGGGATTTAAATAAAATTTGATACATAGCCACTTGGAATAAAAGTAAATTTAACGCCAGTTTCAAAATTTCGTTTTGCGCATGCGCAGTGCCAACTTTCTGATTTATAGGGGGATTTAAATGAAATTTGGTACATAACCACTTGGAATAAAACAAAATTTGACATCAGTTTCAAAATTTGTTTTTGCGCATGCGCAGCTTATTTATGGAGGCATTCAAATGAAATTTCATACATATACACTTTAAATAAAAGCAAAACTAACATCAGGTTTAAAATTTGGTTTTACACATGCTATAGCCATACCCAGGAGCTCGTTTGCTATATTTGTTTAATTTATTTATTTATTAATCTGAAATCACAATACATTACATTTAATGAAATGGTACCTACATCAAACTCAACTTTTGAATTAGTTTTTAATTATAGCATGTATTGATCGATGTCTACCTTCTTGGTAGACTATTAATGTGGAGGAGACTCTTTATACATAAACATTTAACGGCTACTTTGTACACAATGAAGACGAATTAATTGGACACCCCAACATTCCATTTTCGAGATATTCACATTCACATTTTTACATCGGTAGTAGATGTGTCTCGTCTAGACGTTTTGAGTACCTTCCATATATACTGCGTTGTGCAGATATCTGGCTCAGACCTTCCATTTGCCCCTATGAGTATTGCTGTGTGCAATAGCCGCAGCTAAAGTGAACCATACACAAAACACCCCAAACCCAACTAGTTCTTTAATTAAATCTTTCCCAGTACACATCTATACCCAGGTACAATAAAAAAATTCAATTCTGACTTTAGTAAGATACGATAGTCACGATCAAATTCCTTAAACTCCAAAAGGATCACTTACCAAATTTTGAAGACATTTGAAATGGACTTTTGGCACAGTTCAACAAAATTAATCATAATTAAGCTTGAGACATCTATCTGAATCATTAAAGGGATCGAATAAACACACGATTTGCATGATTTCACATAAACAAAATTTATTCTACAACCGCAAAAGAAAATAAATTTAAAATCCTACTTAATAAAATTAGAAAAGAACAGCGTCCGAATAAACAAACCCTGCATATGCGTGCGATTACAAATTAAACAACATGTAGAAATCTTAGATTACTGACAGTTTTCATTCATTACTAAAAGTGTAAATTTGGGTGTAGTCCATTGCTAATAATCAATTCTTTCAATAATGTCGTTTGCTTCTAGTAAACCTAATTCTGTATCCACCTTTGATAATAGGGCGGATAGTACTATGAGATCAAAAATGAGTTGCTGAGTCACCTTTGGAATTTTTGTTTGCATGGTAAATGGTACTTAACTTGAAATTCCAAAAGGCGACTCGACAGCAACTCATTTTTGATCGCTCGTTACAAGTCGTAAAGGACGATAAACTGGTACTGCGTTAGGTTTCAATTGTAATGCTGCTGTTACCTCAGGAATAAAAGTAAAACTAATGCACATTTCAAAATTTGTATACGCTCCACTATTTTTCATTAAACTGTATAGACTTCGACGATATGCGGGTCATTTGAAAGAAAATGGGGTAAGGATCTCGTGCCTACCGGTATTTTTTCCTGGTCCGAGCATTAATATTATTAGGAGGAAAATACGCTCTCGTCATTTATGTTTGCATAATGACTTTTTAAACTTGTTTGAGTGGCCTCAAGAGCTAAAAATGTTGTTTCAAGTGTTTTATCATGGTTTTATCTAAAGACGTATTTGTCTCCATGATTAATATTTTTCTCTTATGTGATTGTCACGTATACCCCTAATAAAATAAACTTGAACAATTGCCTCAATTCATTTTTTCCATGTATTTTCAGGGTAAACCCACTTACAATTTTGTGAAATTAATTTCAGAGATGAAATGTAAGATGTTAATAATGATTTATTTACTTATTTATTTATTTATTTCTTTATTTATTTATTTCTTTATTTATTATCCCTCTCTTGTTCTGGGCCCTCAACAGGCTTGCGCCCAATTACAGAGTGATCCGCATAATGCTTTTTAGAGGTTAAGTTGTTAAATGATTTCCCTTGTACACGGCTTAAAAATCGATGACTTTCGGTGTGAATATTAATTATAGACTGAAAGCGTTTTTCTAATATGTTCAGTAACTCACCGTACGTTTTCTTAGACTGTCTGGCTGGTGTTGACTTTGCCACTCCGTCGTCCTCTGGATCTCCTATTCCACGCATAGTTACGGATAATTCTTAGAAGAGTGTTGAAAACATGTCAGTTGTACTCAATAGTAACAGGAAGCACTCACACACTTCACGGTACACAGATTCCTAATTGTGAAGTGAAGTGAAATAATTTTCAATTTTTTTTAGTGCTCGATTGTTTTTTTGTCGCCATGTGGGTTGTAAAGACTTTTAAAGTACCCTTATTTTTTGTGCTTATAATAAGACATGGGACATACATTTATAAAAATACAAAAAATAGGGGTTTCAATTTAAAAAAAAAAACTAGTTTAAACAATTTTTTTAATTCTGTCTTTAATTTTAAGTTTTTATCTCTCTATATTTATTTAAAATCAAAATATGAACACGGTTGCGTTGCGTACTTTGCAGTTTTGAAACTGAAGAAATTCCCACTACTTTCGGAGAAAAGCGGAAAAAACGCAACTTTCCAAAATCTTTTTTATTTTTTACTGAAGTTATTTAAAAAGATATTTATGGCCACTTTTTTCCCTCTACAAGATGTTACTTTCAAATTTTAAGTTTGACGTTTCGTCTTGAGTCAACCATCATTAACTTTGTTTTTTCTTGTGGAAGTTATTGTGTCATTTGATAGAGAATCTTCTTCTGATTTCAAAAATGTAAACATGACTGCCTGTTAAAAAGAAATAGCGCTATTCACTCGTAAAAACGCAAGAAACTACGCACGTACAATATCCAAGACAAAGTTTTCTAGGCAAAAAAGAAGATATTTTAACAATATTAACAAAATTGTGATGTTTACATTTTTGAAATCAGAAAAAAATTCTCTTTGAAATGACACAAAAAGTAAAAATAACTTCCATAAGAAAAACAACGTTGATGATGGTTAACCGAAGCCGAAACGCCAGATTTAAAATTTAAAACTAGCATCTTGTATACGAAAAAAAGTAATAAATAAAAACGATTTTGCAAAAGTTCGTTTTTTTCCGGATATCTCCGAAGGTAGTCGGAATTTTTTCAGTTTTAAAACTGCATTTAATTAAAGCAATAGCGTAAAAGATTTTCACACATTCATACTGGTACTGAATCTCAATCTTCCAGAGAAATTCTGCATTATTGACCGCCTACAAAATACTTGGTTTTGAAGGACAGATAAGTTAACAACAGTAGCAGCAATCCCTAAAATATAGAAAAGTTATTAATCAAGGGGATTACTTCTGAAACATAATCGCTTTGAAAGCTTGTGATCTACTATATTGAATAATGAATATCCTATTTCGTTGCAAAATTAACTTTACTTAATACCATCCATTATAATACAGAAAAAGAATAACTTCGTTCATAAATCCACCTTGGAATTCTTTTGCTTTGTGGTTTTGAATAAAAATAAGTGTTAAAATGTTGTGAATGGAGTGTTGCGTTGCCATAAGACTAAAAGCACCCACTCCAGTACGTCTGCTTTCTTTAGGTAACCAGAGAGGGTTAGAAATTCCGAAACGTTCCCCGGTGTGGTGAAATCTAGGAAATGAATTCAACTACAGATACAGACAGTAGAGCTCTTTAAATCTGGTCCCACTGAGATCAAACAGTGAGCCTTTTACCTCGTATACAATGATTTTCCCTTAAGTAAAGTTACGTTTAAATTTTCGCGATACGAATTACAAAAGATGCTTTCAATTTACCTACCTTTATTTAATCAGGACATATTTATTTGGTATTCGCCAACACGAAGTGGATAGTAGAAGTATGCAGCTATAAACACTATTATTATAGGAAATGCGGGTGAAACGTGCTCTTTATGAGCATTTTAACACGCTGATTTATAAAACCTTCATACAGCATTTTTCTAGCTGCATTGTAATTATGAAGTTTGGCAATATGATATCTTGAAGTAAACAATACTTTAACGTGTTTTCGTTATAACATTATTATTAAGGATCCTCAGATCCTTTATAGTTTTGTATTGTCCGTCCGTCCGTCCGTGTGTGCTCTAACTCTTTTTAAAAATGACCGATTGTGTTGAAATTTGGTGTACGGCTACTTTGGGCATTAAGGACGGAGACTATTGATTTTCAGGAATCTAAGGAACAAAAGTTATAGGACTTCGAATGAATCGCGAACAGGAAAAACTGCGGGTCCATTATAATAGAAATCAACATATTTCATTCCCTAGGTCATGTATCGAGTTCGGACTTTTGCTAGATTATTCCCTATGACTCTTAGATGTGTAACAATTTAATATAATTCTTCTCCGTG